CGTGGTTATTTCGCTTTAGTACCGTAATTTTTTAAATCGAGCGATTTGGTCGAATATATTTAGTTTATGTTTTCGAACGGCGGTGAAATTCAAATTATAGGTACGATGGTGCTGTTAAGATAATTGTGCTACCACCAAGTTCAACTACCTCCTGACGTTCAAGGCACGTTCGGTTGTGCAAAAGTCGAAACTTTCTCCGATTCGAACAGGAATCTGTCGTGGTATTATCGCAGGTTCAAGAACGCAATAGGTTTATGGAAAGTGACGATAATCTTTGCTGCTTTGCAATCGCACGTTGCGTGTGGCAGGAATACTTAAGGACAATTTCACAAACGCCAATTAGCTGAGTTGGTTTTATATTTAAACATTCAAATATTAACTCTGAATTTTTAGGCAATTTCGTACAGTGTGGTTGTTTTCTTTGTTCACTCGAAGTAACTAAACCATGCGCCACAATGGACTTAACTAGTGATGAATCAACTAGTTTCAGCAGCTTGAAGAGTGGAATGTTTTTTGTTCGCCCAGTTTTTTTTACATTTTTTTGTGACATCTTCTGCAGGAGTTTGGAGGAAGCCCAAATATTTTACTACTATTAATTGATCATCACTTACTTAGCTTTGGGCATCTTAATATTTCGCACAGCTGGTAGAGTTCTGGAGGGATGGCCAAATGTGAGAAAGTTCATCTTCCTATTCTGTGAAAGGAGGTTGTGGCGAAGGCAAAATTTCCAGTTTTCCATTCCAGTCTTTGCGTTTTATTTAATATGACTTTTGAAATACCTGACGTATTCTTTTTATTTCAAGGTTTTTCAATAACTAACCAAAACTATTTTTTTCCGACAGCTTATTGTCCCCCGTGGGGTTACTTCATCATCTGTGCCAAATTTTATTTAGTATTAGTATTTGTACCGCTTTCGCAAAAAGCCATTATCACATCATATTTAATACATCGCAGGAAAAAAATTCTACGTTCAGTTTCGGGACAACCTGTAGAAACGTTTTGTTCAATAGCAGAACAACTGGGCTTATCTTATATTATCAAACACTCAGTCAATAAACTCCAAACAAAGCTTGACTTACACCTAAGCGAGAATTCAAGAAAACATCGAATATAACGGGCGAGCAGCATTATCTCATTCTTGCTAGTAGGTAACTAGATTCTTAGGAGACCTAATTTACCGCACAAAATGAATATCTCATCTTTTAAAAAAGTGTGACTCCGTACAGCCGAAAATTCGCTTCATGCCGCATTAGATTGCTTAGTTAAATGGTTAACCTAGATTTTTAAAACTTTCCAAGCAATTAGGCAATTGCTATACGAGAGCCCTCGACCATATTGATTTAACTGTTAAAAAAAATCTCGGTCAAATAAGCGGCACTTGTTATAAGTCCGAGGTGCAGGTTCTATTCAATATTTTGAGAAAGGTAATTGCTTTCTAACGGATGAATCGGCAAAATTATAATCACACCGTAACAGAATATCTTTTTTTTTTCACAAAACACTACCGGAATGTTTGCAAACATTTTTCTCAGTAAAAGCTTTATTACTGCGAGCATTTAGGTTAAGACTGTTGCTTGTTGGAACCTGAATAATAATTAATAATAAAAATTGTCAATGTGGATATGTTTGATTGCAAAAATTATGAAAAGTTTCTTCTTTTTCCTTAAACCCAAGGTATACAATTATCTATCATAGTTTACAGCAGAAGCGGCGAAAATGTAATTAATAATTTTGCCAAATTTTTGCGATTATGAATAAGACTGCAATAATACAGTTACGCCACTGGTGAAGTGAACGGTACTTGCTTTCAATAAGCTGAAATAGTAATCGCAAACTACCTTAATAAAAGATGGATTGCAAGAGACAGGCTCGCACAGATAGCGGTAATTCAACTCGCACGCAAAATTCAATAAATATAACAAATCTGAACCCAAAATACTTTTCGGTTAGTTAGTATTTGGCTAGCGGTAAAATTTGCTACGTATATTACAATTCATTTTGAATAGCTTTCTTTTTAAACAACTTTAATCACGCCACGGCAGAATACGAGTCACTCACTTGTTCCAAATCAAATGTGTGACAACTTGTTGCTTAATATACTATGAAAGGCTTACAATTAAGATCAACTAAAATTTACTTTACCACAGCAATCGAATTTCGGCAGACGGCAACAGTGAGAAGATGAAAATGTGCAGTCAAATTTTCACGCGGCAATAAAGAAAAATTGCATTCCAATCTATATGCCAATAACAAATCGTAAACAGAAACGGTACTTATTGTAACTGCACATCGACTTCACGCAAGACGTTCGCGACAGTAATTACTTCCATGAAAAGTAGTTATTTTAATGGTTCAACATCCTCTGGAGCTTGCTTGACGTATTGTCGGATGTCCTCCATTATTTTGCTACGCTCACATCGCTATTGTAAATAGAATACCTATATTATTATACATGATTTGTTTTTATTCGGCAAGTCATAATCCTCCTAATCCTTCCTTAACCTAACCTAAACATGCCGATGGTTTTCATACACATCTGCGATAAGTTTTAAGCAGTTGTTTTCAATAGAAAAAAAAAAGGTATAAACTTATGATGGAGAATCTACAAAAATTCGTTCAGTTTTTAAAATGCTTTAAATATGTCACACAAGATTGCATGGTTTTCAATAACATAGATACTTAAGCAATTTTCATTTAACAATCAATTATTTATCAAATCTTTGCTCTCTAAAACTTGAAAAAAAAGTACATTTCCCAAGACGGTTTGTTCCAATTGTTTTTTTTAAACGTCAAAAGGTCGCACACGTTTTTCTACACGCGAAGATTAAAAATAGCAGCCAGACATCTCCCGCTATGCTTTGTTTTATGTCGCAACGTATTTTTCACAAATTGGCAGTGCGGGTGAGTTAAAAATAGATATCTACGCGAGTGAATAACACGGAGAAAGTAAATACGGTGGAGCCGTAAAAATAGAAACATTCGATGTGCCCGATAGGGAACCTCCCCTATAAATCTAAATTAAGAACCGTATATAACAAATTTTTGGAAAGCGCACAGTTTGTCGGGATGGGCTTTTGCTAAACTTTTGATTCCGCTAATAAGAAAAATCTCAATCCGTTTCCGCCCCTTCCAGACGACAAACAATTGGAAAATTTCCAGTGAAATATGTACATACGAATATCATATTCATATTATTTTCTACTCCCATCTACACACCGATCTAACGTGCGGGAAGCGTCACTTTACCACGTCAGTTTCGTTTCCCACGCATCCGAGCCACTTCGGACATTTCCGGGATTTTGCCGCACGGGTTTGGGAGCAATCGGTTGTTTTAGGAGATTTTACCGCATGGTTTGAATTTTGACTTTTGTCAATTATAACGGTCATGAATTGATTGAATGTATTCGTATTGTTTTGCGAAAATTTACCCAAAAACTATACGGATAATCGATCGGAACGATAAACTAGTAGGTTTAATGGCAACTGGTAAATCTGTTGTTTGAATGGTACGAAATTTAGTAATTGGATAATCTGTTATCATTTTTAATTTTTTAAATTGTGATTTTTTCGTGACGGTCGTAGAAAAACTATAGTATTCAACACTAGTATATTATGCAACAAGTGCAGTAAACGGCATTTGACTCACTAAAAGGAAAGAAAAAACTGAACTTCAAAAAAAATAACGGCTGATTAATCGGTAGCGTGCAATAAAAAAATTAAAATTAATAATAAATAAAAACTCAATTATATAAGAACTCGCAGAAATTAACTTGGCATAATAAATGATCGATGTAACTGACGCATTTAATTGATGCCATTATTATTATTAAAATATAAGACACTGCAAAAAGAACAAACCTCACCGACGACCTTTCAGTTTTTAACAATAGCAATCGAGTGCAATTGACAACCCTTCACATATGTTTACATTAGTCTGTGTTGTTGATAATTTTAATTATGGTTCGGTTATTTAATGCGAGCGTGTAGTAAAAGTTTTTAACTTGCTAGTTAGGGACCAATTAATGAATTCGTTATCTTTTATTTTAAAATACCTTTAATACGTTTCAATTTACATTTACAGACAAAAAGGGGCTATTGAAATATGTCTTGTGTAAAAGTTGCATGGCTTCTATAAATGTACCTGTTATAAATTCGCTCCAAAAGTGTGGAAGATCAAAATTTTATTTTTTTTTAAATTCAACGCCCAGTAAATTATTGTTTATTTCGATCATCCGGTTAATATTAAACCTTTTCTCTTTTCTGGTTTCTATATGTTTGGTCTGCAACGTATTAACATTTCATCTCCATCTCGTAATCAATAATTGATTTTTTTTAATTTTATACGGGGTGTGTAGGAAAAATAAGTTGGCACACTCTTCTTATTCAAAAATGCTTCCTGATTCAAGTATACCCGAAGAGCACTATTGGGCTCTCAGAAACAGTAAGATATACAAATTCGGTTGAATTAGCGCATTAGAAATGCAGAAGTTATGAACTGTTCGTGTTTAATTTTTTATATTAAAATTATGTTTCTCTAGCAACATTTTTTATATATGTTATAATGTTATGATCTTTTTGAATCCCACGTGGTTCTAGTATTTAAAAAAAAATGGTTAATGTTGAGTAACTGAGATAAAGATCTTAAGTTAGACTTCGCCTTTTGAGATGTAACTATGTAAGTATATTATAATGGTATAAAGTAAATATTGTCAAAAGTGTGTACAAAACTTTAAAATATCTAAATAAAAGCTGTTATTATTATTATTTAAAAAGGTAAGTGTAAGTGTAAAACCTAATGAAATCGCAATACATATTTCTCTTTTGAGCTAACTCGCCTTTGCAGCTCACAAAAAGCTCTACAGGTACTGTTTGTTTTTTTTTAAATTTTTGGTGCTCTTAAGTTTTTCGATATATTAACCGTAAACAAAAATTACTGGTGTTTGGCTCTATTTGCGACAAAATGAATTTTGACGTAAGTAGAAAAATTCGCATTAACTCACTTTAATCTTTTCGTACGTGGTGTCCAGCTCTAATCGATGAACGAAAGGATTTAAAAGTTGTTCATTTTCACATTCGGCGTGGGAAATGCCGGCCGCGAATTTGGCACTCATTTTCTGTCACTCGCTGATCGGTCTCGCGTCAGGGGTTCAATAAAATTCACGCATTGTATCACCGCCGCAGACTTTTAACAAATTCGCGCGCCAAGCAAGTATTAAATGAGAATCCCTACCATGCGTGCATTCAATCACAGAGCCGATCGAAATGTGTTACACCTGAAAAGAAAGGCGCGGCAACGTTGCCACGTTCGCTAAGTGGAGTTCCTCGTCGCCACTGATTCGCTTGGAGACGAAATTACGTCTTCGAATCTGTCTCCCCAAATCGCATTAAATGACACTGACACTTGACAGCTAGAAAATGTTTGTTACTATATAGGCAACGACTGAGAGTCAGTAAACTCGATTTAAACTAGAATGAGTATGTTTCTCTTTGTCATGCACCTTAGTGCTAATAACATATAGGTGTATTAATATCCGTTTGGAGTTTCTGAGGGATAATCGTTTGTTACTCGTTTCTCCTTCTTTCAAATCAGTGGTTGTGTTAGTATTTTTGGTGGTGACGATCTTGTCTATGTCTATAAATTGCCTGCTAATGTTACTTAATTACAAATAAAAAAAAATTAATAATAAATTACCTTATACTCTATTTAATTTAGTTTTATAAATATTTAAATAATAACTCAACGAATTATTATATAAATTAAATGCATAAATACGATCACATAAATAAAGTAAAACATTAGAACTATATATAAGTTTTAATTTGTATAAACTTTTTTATTTGTATTTTTGTAAATAAATTATCAAGAGGAAGGCAAGCATTCCCATTACTACCCATCCCCCGAAAATCTTGTTAGAAAGCAAAAATGAGAGACGATAATGAAATAAAATTCGACATCTATATCTAAATTGCCTATTTGAGCAACCCAAACTGAGGACAGTAAGGACAGATATAGAGTGTATTCATGAGGCATATAAATTTAAAAAATGCAACAAACTAAACACGTTTTTATGACTCTCTAAAATTATTTACTTTTGGTAAATTCACACACTCAATTTATAATTATTTTTAAATTACAAATTAATAATTCTGACACTGCTCACTGAATTTATAACAGCGACAACGCCGCTTTTTGGCGAAAGTAGGAAAGATTTGAATCAATATTTTCCCTCCTACGTCACGGTGCTTTTGAAGACGAGACAGGCAAGACTCTGCGCGGACGCCACTGTACTGCGGATCAACCGGTTACAGGAAACAAACAGGCCAATACGTTGTTTAAATTTCGTTTCTGCATAGTAGATGGCGGCAGTTATACTGCTGGAGACTTTCTAATCGACAATTATGGGACTCAAAATTTAATAAAATTTATTCGCTGAGAATGTTATTATTATCAGGATTTGGAAAATCTTCCTTCATTTTTTTAGTTTTGTGATAATGTTTTATTTTCGTAAAATTTCGTCTGCTTTAGTCTGTCCAGAAAATGTTTTGGAACAGCTGTTTATTCTAACCAAACTTCTAAGCGGTTTAGGTATAATTTAATCATATGGGTTCTTTATTTTGTTTTTGAAATGGAAGAACTGGAAAGGCGGGTGCAAAAATTGGTTCAGAACTTTTGTACCGGGCTTCCAGGACATGTGGAAAAGTGGAAAATAATATTCAAGGATGTTCAGGATCCCATACGAGCCCTAGTGAACTTTTCTGAACAACTTATCTGCGTGGAAAAGTGAGTTCGCAACTTTTTATCGTTGATTTATTAAACTAAATGGTTTAAATAATTAATTTACTATTATACATGGTGACAAAAGAAATAGCAAAACGAAAGACATTCTCTATTGGATTCATTTTATCTAAATTATAGAGAACATCCTATAAAATAAACACTAATCTGTTTTTTTTACAGTCCTGTTTTTGTTCCCCATGGAATAATTTTGGTCACAGACCATCGAATTATTTTAACATTTTAGTTGGAATGAACTTAACTCATTGAACTCATTGAACTTAGGAGTTTCATTTCAATAATATTATTGTTCTAAAAAACTTAATTTCAACATTAACTCATCAAATTTATTGCACCAGTTTTTGCGTGAAGGTTTGAGGCCATATAAAGATTTTCTGAGCTTTAGGATATGCCCTTTCTTTTTTTCTTATTATCAAAATTTTGAGCTAATACAATAAATACATAATCTACATTTAAAAACTAATACTTACGTAACTGTGTAGTTAAAATTGCATTACATTACTGATGTATATATACTTCATAATTATTTGCTGGAATCCTCTGGGTTTTAATTATGCCTTCGCAGATCGTACTTTATTTCTCGTAGCAAAATGTACTTATTTTGTGTTTGTTCTTTGTTTGTTTGTTTGTTGATCTATGAATAAAACTGGAACTTTGCGTTGTGGCAGCTGGTATATTTTACAGGGCTCGCATCGAGTACATGGACAACTTCGATGAGATTCAACGTATTTTACAATACAAAATCTTAAGCGATATCGAAGATGAATTGTTGTCGATAAGTACCCACATGTAAGTAAATTCGGTAAAATATCGAAATGTAAATTGATTTCACCTTCGTATGTCATGAAGAGATCAGTTGACCAATCTCAATCAAGAACTGAAAAACAAATTGTCAACGTTGGAGAGAACAACCGTCGATCTCGACTGGGAGTCTGAGACTGCTCTTATTCGCGGAACCCCTAGCCAACCGCCTTTAGATAGATTGCTGGAAATGGGATACGACTTTTGGATTTATTTCAGCACCGTATCAAAGAACATAAACGCAGCTTTAAAAAACTTAAACGTCAGGGACGCGAAGCGAGTGGATACACTACGGAAGTGTTTTTGTTTGGACTTGGAGAACCCCGATATCGACACTGATAGGATTATAAATTATTTTTTGGCTGTAACTCAGTACGTTGGTAGCTAATAGAATTAGGCTAATTTGATCAAATAAAGATTTTTTAAATTTATTTTTATTGTTTTGTACTAAATAACCCGGTGTGTGCAGATCACCCTAAAGGAAGACTGGCATGTGCGCCGTGTATTTTATGAAAGCCATTCTGAAACGTTCCAGTTTGAAAGCGCACATTTTTTAATTCCTTATTGATTACGTGCTCTAAATCTGGGATACTGTGGGACATTATATGATACATTGAACTTTATTGCAAGATGGCGGTAGGGAATGCGAATCGGCTGCCGCTAAGATTAAACATCCGCAAATGGAAGATTCAAAAAACTGCAATAAATAAACGGTAGACGCCATTTTTATTAATACTTAAAGCCATAAATCTTTTGGCGAATTAGATTATCGGCCATCATTAGATCGGCACTGACCGACATAGATTAATGTGGTAGAAAATAAAGCACATCGAATTAATAAAGGATAATGAAAATCTCATTTAGGTCACCGTTTTTGGCTATAGCGCTTCCGTTGAATCGACAGTTTTTAGTATTTTAATTAAAAAACAGTTTACAGATAGAGATGTAGATATGAAAGTGTTTCCAGTAGAAAAACTTATTTTTCATTTTATGCTATTTCAAAAAAATAAGTACGTGCATAAGGGGTGATGGTAAGTTATTTAGATGGCAAGCTCTTTTCAAATTGCGTATAGTGTATATTTTATTACATTTTACATTAATATTTTTTTTTGAACTATTAATTATTCATAGGATGCTGAAATTGTGGTTGCAGTTTAAATATGGATAAATTTAATCCATATTATACAGAGTTATTTAAAATTAGTGATTCAGTGATTCGCTATATATAATCTATCACCTATCTTGAGATTCTCAATGTAACAATATAGCAATAATTCATTTAAATGACATTAGTATGTGATAGCCATGAAAGCCAAAGTATGAAAAGTTTAATGATGATATAAAATGAATTCAGATTGAGCAAAATCAAATTTCGATGCATGTTTTAATGAATCTGTTTATTACTTATAAGGGAATATGGCAAAACTGTAAAAAAGAACGCGCGGAAAATCGACGAAATATGTCACTATTTGCGAAAAATGCAATCATGATTCAATCATCGATCAAAACTCAATTCTCCCGGTATATTGTACCGAGTACATCCACGACGCATCCGTCTAAGGTACCATATAAAATATTGGAAAAAAAAATTAAGACTACGTTAGCAGATATGTTGGGGCATTATTTTTAGTCAGTTTTATGGGAGTTGTACTTTAGTACGGTAGTTCGATCATTATTAAGAATTTTGGAACGTTTTAGAACTTATCGGCTGCATAGCGTCGATAATAATTATCAATTCGATTGGAGTGTAAATAGAAAAAAATTCTACACCCTGCTTCTCGGGGGGGTCGAAAGTCTCTGAGCGCTGGCGCCGGTATTGATTCAGGGTTCAGAACAGTTTGGTGTGCGTGTTGCTCAACGTCTGGACGCTTTCCTCGTCCTTATAAAAGTCAGGTACGTAAAAAGAACTCGATTATAAATACTATTTGACTTCGACAGTTCAATGATTGAAATAATATCGACGTCTTTTATGCTTGAAAATGGAAAAAAAGTTCGCGTTTTGTCAGGCAATAAAAACTTATATGCTTATTTGCGATACATACAATCTAGATCTAGCTACGCTTGATTAGAGTAAAGCGTTTGACGCTTTGAGTCATGACGTACTATTTGCAAAATTGAAGTATTCTGGATTCTCAAGTAATTCCTTAAATCTTATGAAAGACATTCTAACAGGTAGATACAGGCGAGTTGTAATTACAAATAGTGCAACAACGAACTTTTTGATACAAACTTCCTTATTTCAGTTGATTAGGCAAGGTGTTCCACAGGGGTCAATAATTTCACCAATTCCCTTTTCTTTAGATGTGGATGATATGAATCAGTGTAACACATTCTAAACTTAAACAGTATGCCGACTTATCTTAATTTACCAATCAGTGTCCAATGCTTTGCAGAAGTTCAACAAAAACTTAACGCAGATCTTAACAACTTCAACTTATTTGCAACAAATCACAACCTAAAACTTAACCCTAAAAACAAGGACGTTATTTCAGTTGTAAATACAGCAAAAAATTTAGGTTTGACCTTTAACAAAAATTGCAAAACTTTTGTATGCTTTTTGCTTAAAACATACCGGAAACTGCATATGCATAACAGGTTTGTTTATAAACCGGTTTATCCCAATAAGATGTTCCAGCTTCTTCCATATTTCGAAAGAACAAGAAATAACCTAACTTACATTGTTCCTCGTTGTAGAATGTTAGCAATTCAGAGATTATTTACTCATGTGGCAATAAAGATATACAATGGTCTTACCAGTCAGATGAGGGAGTTAGAGATGTCTGCGTACACAAAATTAATAAAATCTAAATTACAGAACAAAATATATTTTTAGATTAATTAATTTAAATATTCAATTTCTATTTTCATTTATCTTTAGTGTGAGGTTTAAATTCCTATAACAATTTCCCCGTCGATATGGGTGTGGGTCTTCTTTTTCTTCGATTGTTCCCCTTCTCTTGGGACACACTCCCGTTCAGTCATGTTAAAGCACTTACCAATTTGAACTTTAATTGCAATATACTCACTGCAATATCCTTTTTTTATAATTTCTTTTCTTCTATATTTAATAGTTATAGTACGTTCGATGCTGTTGTAGACACTAGAGACTTCTCGCTAACATTTTTCTTTTAGAAAGATGTTGGTGAACGGTTATTATAATCGAGAGTGTGTACTTTTTGTCAAACGATTTGTGGTGTAATTCTTGAAATTATATTGTCTTTTTTTTGACAAAAAAAGGATATATTATATTACTATATTGTTATATTATATTATATGTGGAAACTATATTAATCGGTCATTTGATGATAATATATTTTTATTGGCGGTGTGGGTAGAATTAAATATAATCATGTCTATTTTCGATGTGAATATATTCAACAGTATTTTGTTTAGCCAGTTTGACAAGACGTTAGTTGCATTTTAAAGTATATTTGCTTCTCGGTTATTATTGAACTTCTTGATTGAGAAAGTTATGATAGAATATAGCTGCAATATAAGTGTTTGCTTTAGGACTTGTTCGTATTGAAGGCAATATTTGATGAAGAGAAGTAGGATTTGCACTTTGCTTTAACTCTATAAAGGTCTGTTTATCACATTGTCAATTTTTTGAACTGATTGAGTTGGTTATTATATGGTCCGAGAAATAGAAAATACCTGGATAGCCTTAAAATGAAATCTGTAGTGTGTTGGGAGTAGTTTCGTTAATTGATGCTAGTCATGTGCTTAAGGAATGGTTGGTTTACCTTACGAAATAAAAGACGCTGAGAGTGTTTTAACTTTCCATCCTCTGGAAAACTGCACTAGGGCCGACTTTTTTGAAATTTAGACATAAAATTGCTTCAATTATAATTTTTTATTTTTTCTTTTTATTTCTTAATATTAACAGGTCCTTAAAAAAGAAGTATTTCAGTTACAAGAACTTTGATATTCAAGACGAAGGATATTTCAAAATATCGACTGCCACATTTTAGGTAATTACAGTGTGAATTGAAGTATGATGCACACCTTCGCTAGCAAACTGAAGATATTACTCCCTGGTATACCTTTCAAATATTTTCAAGATTGGTATACAAGTTTATTTTAGTACCATTTGCTTTGGTGTAACGATTCTCAACTATCTAATTAAGCATCGCAAAGAAAACCACGCATAAGGTTCTAAATGAATAAATAATAAATTTTTTGGTATATGAGTCATTCCAAACTGTGTAACACAACAATGTTTCCAGCAAACATGACCTTTATCAAGGACAACGTTATCTAGTTGCAACTCCTCTGCCGCATCAGCCGTAAACGCACCATCATGGCGAACACTGCTCATCTCGTCAGACGTCAAAGTTCCCGCGATTTGAACTCCCAGCGTTCTCTAGATCGTTTGGAGTTGAAGGAAATGCGGGGCCGTCTGGTCGTTATAGAAAACGGTAATACGGGCACCTATGGCGCGACAAACAATGCTTTCGAAGACAACAGTCCTAGTAATAGGATTAAATCTACCTGCAGTAGCAAAAGAGGATCACAGGTAGCAAACCATCATCGTTACTCATTTTGCTCACATTTTGTGCTTGCCAACCCTGATTTTTCGTTCATTTTACTCTAAAAACACGTTCGAGGGAAATTGGCCTGGATCGGACAATTTTCAAAAATTCGACTAATTGTTATTTTGCTTTTCAAAGAATGTGTTTCCTTGGAAACCGTTGGATTTATTGGAAACATAATTGATCCCGGAAACGCATGAGGTCCAGGACTACAACTTTTATAAAAAGCATAAAAAGTACTTTTTCGGTATTGCACTGGATGTGGCAAAAACTGAAAACCGACTTCCCCTTGGAAAGAAAAACAACTGTCAGTGTCTTTGATATATCGATATAACTCATACCGAGAGTTTAAAGTTTAAAGTTTTACATATTGTACAGACAAAAGCTTCGGGAAGTATTAATTGTTTTTCGAATTTTTCGGTTATAGCAACAAACTATTTTCTCATAAACATCAACAACCAGTACATATAGGACTCTACAGTTACGAATATCAGGAATAGCAAAATCAAACAATATTTTTTTAAATTCAAGGATGGGAAACCAATTTTCAAACCCGAGTGTGTCGAGGAAGAGCGCGAATCTTGGGATAGTAAGCTGACGTTCCTTCTGGCGACGGTGGGATATGCCGTCGGTTTAGGGAACGTCTGGCGGTTTCCATATTTGGCGCAAAAGAATGGCGGAGGTGCTTTCCTCATCCCGTATTTCGTCATGTTAGCCATCGAGGGAATCCCTATATTTTATCTGGAATTGGCGATAGGGCAAAGGCTGAGGAAGGGAGCCATAGGAGTTTGGAATCAAGTGTCTCCTTATTTATCTGGTAAGTTTTGGGGAAAAATCTACTTAATGATAGCGAGATTTACCAAGTTTTTTATTTTCCTCGAGCAGTTCTCAATGTAACTGATATTAAATTATACACATAACAATCTTCTTCACCGTTGGGTGCTTGCACAATTCAAGGTCATTCACGTTGTGGTTTGTTTTCCAGGTATCGGGATAAGTAGCGCCGTGGTGTCCTTTAACGTCGCCTTGTATTACAATACTATAATCGCTTGGTGCCTGTTTTACTTTGTCCAGAGTTTCCAGTCTAAATTGCCTTGGGCTGAGTGTCCCAACAAGTATTTCCCTAACGGATCGTATACGCCCGAACCTGAATGTGTGGTAAGAGATTGTCGCTATAATTATTACACATGAACGTGAAAGAAGAGATTTTAAGATATGTTGATTCCAGTTTTCAATTGTAAACCGAACATTAAAAGCACTCAGTGAAAAGCGAATGGAAAACCGTAAAAGAATTCTGGTGTACTGTACGAAGGAATTTTAGAAGAATTCCAAGGAATTATAAGTAATTAAAGGAATTACAGTACACACTCTCCGCTCTGCGGTTTACCTCTCGGTGAAAAGGGTTTTTTAACAGTGAACATTTTCTTAATAATTGACAAAACCTTTAATTTATTAGGAAATAAAATAGAGAGGTCGTAAAACGGTTAGTTGTCCAGATACAGTACGTACAAGTGTGCCATTATATTCAAATAGTTCGACATAATGGCGCAAACCTCATATATAATTTTAAAAAAGGTATACCTTGTTTAAGCGACCAGAATTGTCGGTTTTGTGAGAAAAACGCACTTCAAAGTGGATCAAACTCTGCTTAAAATAAGACATCGACTCGTGGTGAGGCGTGACCGCTAATAAATAACATTTCAAGTTCAATTTTATGCCTCAAACACAATTTGCATGTTTTGCACGTATTAAATTTTTGATTCATAATAAAGAAAACTTATATCCATGGTATAAGTCTATAGTATTTTTAAGCAATTTGAATTTGAATTCTCTGCCTCCAAAATCCCCAATTTTGTGCCGTTATTTTTATAAGAATATTTCATATTAGTTTCAAAAGTTCTATTAAAATTTTATGACTAAAACTAGTGGTTTCTCATAATTTTTCAGCAGTGATTTCACTGAAGCAACTAGGCTTCACAGATTTAGCAATGGTTTTAATTTTGCGCTCAACAAATGAACCCAAAACAAAATTGTTAAAGGTGGGTGATAATAAACAAAGTTTCTCGCTATGGTCGAAAGCCTTTAACATCAGTTTACATTAACAGCATTTAGTATACTAAATTCTCAGTCAGCAATTACGTCGCGAGTTTAATTCCAGATAAGCAGCCCGACACAATACTTTTGGTACAGGACGACGCTGATGATTTCAGAGGACATCAACACCCCAGACGTGTTCAACTGGAAAATCGCCATTGCCTTAGTGGTCGCGTGGATTCTCGTTTACATGTGTATGATTAAAGGGATCGCTTCGTCCGGCAAGGTGGTCTATGTAACCGCAACATTTCCCTACATCGTCCTGATCATATTCTTTTTCCGAGGGATAACTCTTAAAGGGGCGGGAGATGGGATTAGACACCTGTTTACTCCATCGTGGCATATCATACTAGATCCCGTAGTGTGGCTAGAGGCTGGAACGCAGATTTTTTTCTCATTGGGACTTGCTTTCGGTGGCCTTATCGCTTTCTCATCTTACAACCCGGTAGGTCCAATCCTTGTCGGAGCGTGGCGAGTTATTTTCAGATAAATATTGTTACCAGGTGAACAACAACTGTTATCGCGATGCGGTTATGGTTTCCCTCACCAACTGTTTCACGTCAATGTTTGCCGGCATCGTGGTGTTCTCCATTATTGGTTTCAAAGCCACGATGACGTACGAGAGGTGCGTGGAGATGCGAAACGTAACGTTGACCGAACTGCTGGGTCCGAATTACGACCCCGATATTGTTTTTCCATCGGAGGGGTCCCTATTCAACTTGACCCTCGAGAACGGGACCATAAAGAGTTTTACGATGACTTCTTTACCGGTCTGCGATTTGGAAAAGGAACTGGATAATGTAAGTTGCTGTGTTGTCTTTATTTACTTTAGCTTTAGTTCGCCATATAATCGTTGGGTCAAGGTCATTAGCAAGAACTAAATGAAAATAAATAGAACAATAAAATATGATGGAAGTATTACTTAAAAGCATACTCTCTTGGACTACATCTATTAGATAATTTTTTGTTTCCTACAATTTTTTCATAGCATAGTTTCCGAATTTCCGGTTCGAAATCTCTCGATGAAAGGGTATGAACCCTCTCTACGTATAACTGTTGTTCTTTTAATATCCTCAGTACAGTTGATGCATCAGTGTTTAATTGTGCTGCAATGTTCATGCTACTTATCTCCAGTTGGCCTTCAATAATATTTAGCCCATCAGCTTTTAATATGTTGAACTTCGCGGCTTTGGCCTGAAAAACTCCTTTTTGCGAAACTTCCAAATTTGTATAGCTTTTCATAAGGCCTGTAGATAAGCTATGATGAGGAAGTCTATGATTAGGATATGGTTGTGTATAAAGACGACAAGCTTTCAATGAATTTCCGTCTGCACGTTCATACATAAGAATGCATATTGTGATGCATTAGATAAAAAATTATTGATTAAATTACTCGTATTTTGTATTCAAACTGGCCAATAATACGAAATATTGTAGGAAGTGACCCATTAGTCTCATTTAATCCCCTCCACTAATTAAAAAATAAATAAATTAAATTTACATTTTATTCAGTGAGGTTCTTTGTGGAAAATCGGGATACGAGATCGGTGAGTTACTGCTAGTTAATGCTTAAACCAAATTTGGTTTGCACACCTGACTGATTTTAATTTTTAAAGTCATTTGACGATTAGGACTCAAAATATTCACTTTTTTAATAAACATTTGTTTTTGTTAAGAAGAAAAATAACTTCCAGAACCAATTCTACAATGTTGTCGACGGACTTTTCACGGTAACCATTCTGAAGCAAAAGTTCTTTTATTATGCATGTTTATTATTCTATTTTTGATTATTATGTGATAATTTATCGAAACTTATTTTTTTGTGAATACTTCTGGACTGCAGACAGAAGTCATTATTTTACTCAATTGCAAATTTGAATGAATCATTCTGTATTTCGACAGTCGAGACGGGAATCTTTTTAATCTCACTACTGAACTATTTTCTACCTCTTTTTTACGGATTTTCGTGTATGAAATGCTGAATACTAGTGAAATAATATGAAGAAAAATAAAAATAATCATCGTAACACAATAAATAGCAAGTTGTCGCTAAGAATCATCGATTGAAACTAAACCAATCTGTTTTTGTACTTCTCTTTTTTCGAACTTCTCTCCCTCTCTTTCTAAACTTATTTTGCTATTTATAAACCCCTATTAGGGAATATTTGAAGGTAAAAAAATGTTTAAAAATATAGAACGACATTCCTATACCTAGTCTTCAGTAATCTTGAACTAGAACAAACGAATATTAATTAAGTAACAATTGTTTAAACTAAACTCGTGTCTTGTTTTTCACAGTCTGCGTCCGGTACAGGACTGGCTTTCATCATTTTCACGGAAGCCATCAATCAATTTCCTGGAGCCCAGTTTTGGTCGGTGTTGTTTTTCCTGATGCTGTTCACACTCGGAATCGACTCCCAGTTCGGTACTCTAGAAGGCGTGGTGACTTCCATCGTGGACATGAAGTTGTTCCCGAATCTGCCCAAAGAAATTCTTACCGGAGTGCTGTGTCTAGTGTGTTGCGGGATCTCGATGAGCTTCGCCCACGGTGCTGGAAGCTATGTGTTTGTTTTGTTCGATAATTTCAGCGGGAATTTTCCTCTGTTGATAATCGCATTCTTCGAGTGTGTAGGAGTGTCTTACGTATATGGCCTTAAACGGTGAGCATATTTTCTTTGATGAATGAAAACTTTATGGTTTTAGTGAAGTTGTTGAATTTTTTTATTTGGCATATTCGAGTGGATAGGGCATATAGGTATTACTAAATTTCACCCAGCCGTAAAAATTCTAGATCTAAACTGAAATCTATTGAATTGATGAAGTGTCATCCCCAATGTTGGTTGTTGAAAATTCCAGTGTTACGAGCCCATATAGTGATGGCTTTTATGGAGACTGGTTCAACCAGAACAACGGCAAAGTAGCTGTACAAGTTTTTTCACAATACATTCTAATAGAGGTCATTTCCGATCGAAAAGTATTTAGAGTATGAATACTTCACAAAATAAATAAAATTAAATTAAATAAAAACTAATAAATCTCTTTTTCTTATAAAGACATTACAGAAATATGTCAACTGAGGAAAATTTTTTAATGTTTTTATTTTTTGTTTCGCAGTCGAAGCCATTCCGTAAAAATGAAGTCAACGGCTTACATTCTCCTTAACAAAGTGAAGAAAACAAAATATTTCCGGAGTTGTTCATATACACTTTTTACCGTCAAATTATTCTGTAGTTTCCACACTTTATTATTCGTTTTCGCTTCGTTTCAGGTTTGCGGACGATATTGAAATGATGACCGGCACCCGGCCAGGTTTATATTGGTTAATTTGTTGGAAATACCTGTCGCCACTCGCCATGATATCCATTCTCGTGGCAAGTTTTGTGGAAATAGCGGTTCAGGGATCAGGTTACGATGCGTGGGTGGCATCCAAAGGGGAGACCCTAAAACAGCCGTGGCCCGTATGGGGAATTTTGCTTACAATCGCCCTGATATTGGTGTCGGTTTTGTGGATTCCTGGAGCCGCCATAGCGAGGTAAAACGAAATCGATATAGAGAAAAATATATATGTTTTGTGTACAAATCACCATTCTGCTAATTTCTGAAGCGCACTTGAAATTTCAGGTTATCTGGTATCGCTCTTATCGATGACAACGAAAAAGCCTGGTTTCCAGCGAGCGATTTGAAGGATTTCCACGGAATCATGCCCCACGAAGTCAGTAAGGCTGAAACTCTGTTGTTTTGTATTAGAGCCGACGGTTCTGAAGGGCTGTGCTGCCCGACATATCATTCATACGATGACGTAGAAGAAGAGGAGTAAACTCCTAGGTAGCAGAACGTTGCACATATGTATACATGCCACTGAAAAAAGCAATTACTTTTTCCGTCTACATTGTTTCGCCCATAGGTGTGGCATTTTATAAAGGTGTAACTAGGTGATAGATACAGGAGAGATTAGGAGGTTGTGTAAATAAATGACTGCCCTAAATGCAAATGAATATTGTACATAATTCATGAAAGTACATTTTATTAGGTATAATTATGTTTCAGGCGCTGCTTAGAGGTATCAAAAGGATGAGGTAATAACTTCCTCCTGATCTTTCGAGTGCAGAGTGGACGTAATTGGGGTAGTCTATCGGTAAAAACCTGTTTCTAAACTAAGTAAAGCGTATTTGCTTGATTTTTTGAGAAGCATTTAATGGGAAAACCGCTTTTTCACTATGCCCTTAAAAAAAAGCCCACGGAGCTCATTTCAGTCATGTTTGGATGCTGGATATAAAAAAAATCACCTTTATTGTTCTGTGTTTATTGTCTTTATATCTTTTTTAAATTTTACTTTACTTAACTTTCACGGTGATTAAGTTTATTCTTGAAGTTTTTGTGTGATATCTTTAACTTAATTTAATCTTATAGATAAATGTAAAATGTATAAGGGAAGGCCTTATATGTCCGCCATTTTTCATACGTCGGTTTATTTGTATTTAGTTTAAAAATAGATAAAAACCACCAATTACGAACACCCTGAACATATTTAAAGTAAATAAATTGACGACAATAATAAAAAGACAATATCGATAATTTCGTCTTCACTGTACACTTATGGAGTGTTATAGTAATAACAAAATTATTTTTTAGAGAATTATTAAGTATTTACCATTTTTTTGAGTAATGTTTATCAATCCAACAACGAAGTACACAAATTCTCGTTGAGGATTTTTACTAATTTGCTATTTTAAGAAGCAAAATATCATCGTAATTTGACAATAATCATAACACCGGGTAGAGCTCAATATGAACTATTTAATTGGTCTATTCTCTTTCCCCAATTTTGTTAAGTATTGTCCAAAATTTGCGAGAAAATAAATCCAAAATATTTAATAATCGGTGCCAACCGCAAGCACAATATAAAACAACATTTAAGCAACAAAATAAAAGAAGCAATACTCCAGAAAACATCAATTTCTTCTTAGAAACAAAATTTTGTCTGATCCTGTTACCACAATTACGTCGTAATATTAGGGGAAGCTAATGTTTGTGTTACTTGTGCTGGAGATCTATACTCTTAATGTACGTTTCATTTCATGTTTAATAATATATTAACATAAACAACGCTTTTAAACAATAATAGTATGTATTAATTGATTTTCAATCAAAATCTGTCGTTAAAACTACTACCCGACTTTGTTACTAACTTTATATCAGTAGAAACTACATATCTATTGCACTTATGACGCAACAAATAACTGTGCAAATTTTGCGCTGTTTATTGACATTTCTGTTGTTTTTATAATCTGTGATGTGTATTAACAGAGAATGATTCATTGCTATAGATATATCGATTTAATTGTTGGAACGATGTAATTTGACACACTAGCTTCAGTATAGAGAGACTTATTAGTACTATGAATGCCACTCTTAACTAACGACAATAATATTGTATTTTAACGTAGTGTATAATATGTGTGTTACGCATCGAATATGTGATAAATATCTGAGCACAAATAAAATCTCCTGTACAAAGAATTATTACAAATATCTTGTTATTCCGGATAACGTTTTACTTTTGTTCAAAACTATTATAGGAGTGTTCACTTTAAGTGCCTTTAAGTTAAATTGACTACTCGAAAGATATTTTCATGGGTTGTAGGATCTTATATATATTATTATTTCTTCAAGGCTAGTTGTTTGTCAATGAAATTGTGATTTCCAAAAACTTTTTTGATAGTTCTTAAAGAAGAAATAGTATATTTCGAAACGTTGGCAAATTGAAATCGGTTTTTTATTGCCTGCAACCCACAAAAATCTCTTTCGATTAGACAAAAAGGATAGTTGCGGAATTGTTAAAATTATAAAACTCCCCTACTCCAGTAAATTTAGATTGGTCAAGCATAGTTTTTGGTCCATTTCCGTTACGTGAATTAATATTTAAATTCGAATATAAAAAATCTGACCATTTTGTTTGAATTTTGACAAAATTTTGGACTTTGCATTTATCGCGAACATTCCTGTTCTTTGACAACTTTGGGACAAACAATAAGATATATATTAGTTATAGCATCAAATTAAAAAAAGGAAATATTTTGATTGTTTATATTTCCCACAATATCATATTATATTTTTTACCACTGCCTATTTATGTTGTATATATATACATTATACTGTACATGAATTATTTAAATTTAAAACATTTATTTACCCATTGTTACGGCTACGGTTAGCGTAGACTTATAGTTCCAACACTTTCTAGTGTTAGCTAATAAATGGCAGATTTTTATCGATAATCCTTAATCGACAATAGTCAATTAACATATACGTTAGAAATAGTTTACTTCGTTCAGTCAGTGGATGAAATTGACAATAAATTTGACGTTGTTAAAACTGCTTCGGAAGGCAGAAGACGATTATCCTTTTTTTAAATATGTCCGCTCCAAATCGTTTTTAGGAAACCATAAACAACTTTCGGTGCCACTGATGTCTGAAATAAAAGCGCGAATGGAATCCAAGTTCGCTGTCGAAAATACGATTCTGTTGAGTTGTCGAAGATTGCTGAGAGACACGTCTTCCGAAGGAGTAAGGTTTAAATAATAATTGTGATATAAAGTATAGTATTTCACCCTTGAGAATTACTTTAAAAAGAGAAGTGTCTTTTTCTTGGTTTGAAAAAAAAATCTATGCTGCTGCTCCGGAAATTACGAAAGCTTTTATTTACGCAGTTAATGTCACGGCGTTCCTTGTTTTGTTGTAACTGTAAATGTCTGTTAAATAAATAACTAATATATGTTAGGTATTGTTTTTTTTTTCAATGATCGTTTATTTTGCTGCACATTGTGTACGAAACAATAACCGACAACTAGAACAGTGAGTTTAAATAGTGCTTATAATTTGCTGAAGTCAAGCTTAGTAGTATTTCTCCTCCATGTTTAGATTATTCAGAACCGCGTAGTACGACAATGATGTTCGAATGATCTGCAAAAAATAGGTGTTTATTATCAATTAGCTAACATGGCATATTATGCAGTAGGCAGTACTGGTAAAATTCATACGCTTTTTGAAAGAGGTGCTAACGGTTACCTTCACAAACGTCTCCACAGATATTTCAAAGAAGTCGACAGCGTAAAATTTCAGTGGTCTCTGAGCCCTTCGAATAAAAAAGATCAATTCCTTCTTGAAGCTGTTGCTGGAGTCTACCCAGTCGCAGCTGTACGCGGCAAAAGGGATGTTTTCACTCTGAAATTTTATATCTTCTCAACTCTTTTAAAGAGGGAAGTAAATAAATAAATATAATTCAAAAGTTCAACCTCAGCCAACCGGTTTATCTAGTGTCCTCAATGAAATGTCGAAAATCTTCTTACCTTACGTGTCATTTCCGTCGAGAACCAACACGGCACCAAGAGCAAGTTTGCTACCGCTAGTAGGTAGACTACCAGATAGAAGAACTCAAATGTTTTTGGTTCTGTCTTTAAGAAAATAAAATACGTTAACGGTAAATTAAAAACCACTGTGTACTCGCCTTACCAGACTAAGCAAGAACAGATCCATGCACAACGCAGTGGTGCTGGCAAACAGCTGACCGAAGTATATTTTGCCAAACACTTTCTCGGTCGTTTTCAGAAATCTGGAACAAAAACCACTGTTAAGACTTCAGCTTTGAAGCGACCCGACATACTTCAGCATCAAGCGGTGCTTTTCGATGCAGCCAAGCAATGTTTTTTTCCTGCATACGCCGTCCCGATCATTCGCAATCGCAACCAACCTCATGCAAAGTAGTTGGCATTGCTGGCTTATGAATCTACAGAAACCGCCAATACTCAAATCGACCAAAATATTGATGATTGAAATTAGCACGATCGCCAAACTTTGGTGCACGTACACAGCACAATAAACTATTGTTGAAATTAATTCGAAGGGATACCATGCTCTTACGACCAATCTACCGCTTATCAGGGGTGTGGTTATACAACATAGTGTTGATATTAAAGTTAAAACCAACATGGTCGTTTTAATTTTCCAGAACTTTTGGAACCCAATTTTTAAGCTTTCAAATTCTTCCGGGTTTCGGGGTTGGAACGTTTGATCGCTTAACATATCGACGAGAGTTTTAAACTCGTTTCTATATTTGTAAAAATAATACGATTTAGCTTGTCCCATGTAGCAGATCAGAATGATGTACCCCAGATCAGATGCGTCCTTCAGATTGTGCGTCTCTATAAACCAGTTAACTGTCATTAGGAAGTTCACCGCAAACATGACAGCAATATTGCAAAAGTAAAAGTGGTACTTGTAAAACGGAGGAATTTCTTCGCTGTCTTTAGCCCAACATCCCGCCAACCTTAAGAAAAATAAATCGCTAATGAAAATCTTTCGGAAATCGTAAGCTATCATTTTTACTCGATTGACAGCGACGAAATGTTGGGGAAAGTTAGATCCGTGGCAATTTATGTTGTTAGGCATATAATTTGACATGTTACCGATATTCGGTAAATTGAGAAAGTTTTAGATAAAAGGAAGTTTATCGAATATTCAAAAGCGAGTATTCCAGGGTGTCGCTGATTTTTCTGAAACAATTTAATATCACAATGCATAAATAAATTATACCCTAAAGACTAGGCTAGTCTGAATATTGAAATAGGTCTGATTTACCAATGCCGCAGCCGCACAGCACATTAGACCTTGTTTGGATTCAGATGTGTGTATGTGGATGTTACATTTATATATATATATATATATATATATATATATATATATATATATATATATATATATATATATATATATATATATATATATATATATATATATATATATATATATATATATATATATAATATACTACTACTGAAAAATACAATGCAATACAATACAAATATAAACACCATATTTCACCACAGTTCCTTTCAATCGTCCTTATGAGACATTTTCTGTCCATTATTTGATACCGTTATACGCAATGATTCGAATTTACTTTTCTCTTTTCTCTTTCTCTTCTCTACTTCGGATATTTCCGCTATTTTAGTCACGAACTTCGGAGCCATCCCAGAGGGGGCGTTTTTGGTAAAATTTGGATGGCATTTTAACATTTGCCAATTTTGATAGTAACATCACACATCACTCAGTGCTGTTTTGCAAAAAAATACGCAAAAACTAATGATTTTGGAAAAATATACCATGCAACAAGTTGATAAACTTCCATAAACTTCTCTAAAATGCAATAACTGTAGGAAACTTAAAAACGCTCCACTTCCTTTCTGATGGCATTAACACTAGCAAAATGGTTACCATTACCCCAAGTTTGTTGATCTGGAAGTGTAAAATTAAGGAGACTTACTCGAATGTTGAATTGTAATGGAGGATGCAATCAATAAAATTAATTTTCTTCTCTGTTTGGCTCGCAGCGGCTCCTACGGCCTTTAATCTGGCACAAAGCAAATCGCATTGCAATCCAATGAAAGTTGCAAATCCCGCCATGAGAACGTCCACGTATAGGTTGCTGCAGGCCAGGTACATTATCGATATGCCTTGATGTAAATAGGCGATTTCAAACGCAGGCGACTTTAAACAATCTGTCGGGTACCAAGCTGGTACAGGCAACATATAAGGTCTCTGATAGAACAAAGGTCTAAATATGGTACCAAGGAATGCTATCCATGTTACCGTCTTTAACACCCTCCTCGTTTTTGCGAAATTTCTTAAAACCTTTCTAATGATTGCGAGTTCCTTTATATTTCTGGGTTGAAAAATGTTATCGTCACAAGCGGCAATCAGTTGGTCGAAGTAGGAGCTGTTTCGAAATATTACCAACATCTTTGTTTGCCCCATTAGGCAATTGATAGCGACGTATCCCATCTCGGCGAATTCTTTCAAATTTGTGGTCACAAATATCCATCTCAAAGTCAATATAAGGTTATAGAACGTAACCAAAATTATATTCGTCAGCAGAAAGTAGAATTTGTAATAGACGCGTTGGTTTGGTTTAACGTCCACCCAGCATGCCAAAAACTTTAGGGCTGTAAGATCGGTTTGGTAATAGTTTTTGTAACTGTAATGTGCCATTTTTATATTCCCGTGGACGATATTGTTATAAAAGTTCTGATGAGACAACGTTTTCTTTATATTGTATCGATATAATTGGCTAAGTAAGTAATACATCATAATTTAAACTTTATGTGAACTCGGACGACTGTAAATGCTGTAATTATTTTTGTTTTGAAACTTTAGAACTGAAAAATTATTACTTACATTACAAATATGACCAATAACGCTAAGATATAGAAAATGAGTTGGATGTAGGTCAAACCAAAAAAACCAAAAAAAATTTAATAGCAACCAAATTTCGCCTATGTCATATTGTTATTGGTTAGTTAATATAGCAAGATACCTTTATTCAGATTTGTTTATTATTGTAACATATACTTTTAAGTGACGCTCTTCGTGCACAATGTACTTTTAATATCTGATTTTTTCTGGGTCGAAAATTTATACACGGAGATTTAAATAATTAAAGTCAACGCTCGCCTAGAGATCCGTTATCTAAAAAAAGTAGTTCGGAAAGCAAGGTTTCCAAAATCGTTAAAATTTACAAAATGCTTTCTAACGAATATTTGTTTTTTGGACCCTTTGATCACTCTAAATTAACTTAGCTATAAAAAATTGGTACTAAAGAAATTGATGAAAGCAGGTATACGTGGCCAATAAACAGGACCTCCCCCTTCAATCCAACGAATACCATATGCGTCAATTTAAATAGTATTTAAGCCTGTTGGGTAACACAATGGGACTTATTAGTTCATTATCAATCATATTTTTATGGAAAATTGATATTGTTAATAAAGGCGCTTCTCATTAGTCCGTCAACATATATAGATAAATATGTTTGTGTCAATATAACAATAAATGCATTATCGGTCTACAAAGTTCTCAGAGGTGATTCAAAAAGAAAGCCGGGTTCCAAATGATTGATTCCAATTGATGATGATGATTGTTTCCTATTATTTTGCAATTTTTGTCATCGAAATTTTGTCTTATCAAGAAATTTGATAGTATTGTGAGGTCATGAGAATCAGCAGTACAGCGTATTTTCATCCCAATGGCTTTGTTAATAACCAAAATTGCAGAATAGAGTAATTTAAGAACAGTAAATGCATCTTCAAGGGGTTACGATTGGGTGTGCAATTTGAAGTAGCGGTTTGTCGTCTTTTTTTTTTTTTTCGAAGAAGAAACGACTGCCAGTCACTTTTAATGGAGTTCGTTATAGAGGAAATGATCATTGAGAATGTTAAGTTCCGAAAGAACGGTGCAACGTGCAGGAGAAACAATTGTTGTGTTGAGTGAGAGTTTTCTGGATAGACTCATCTCGTTGCGAGGAGACCTTGAATCTGTGGCTTGGCTCCATGTGACATTTTTATGGGGTTGTATTAAGTCACAAATCTACTTGAATGAATTCAAGGATGAAATTCAACGTGTTCTGGCAAAATCAATGTGCATGTGAATGATGACGTGTTAGGCTAGGCTACCCGATATTGAAACCTAATTAATTTTACAACCAAAATGGAGATTGAAGAAAATTGTTTAAGCACTTCCCAAGATAACCTTTTTAAAAAAAATTGAAAAAACAGTAGATTAAGTCACCGTAATTCGGAAGAAAGAAATGCAATTCGAAAATTATGCTTAGAATATCGAGACATTTTTTATTGCGAAGAAATTCTTCTGAGTTTTACTAATAAAATAAAACACAAAATTAAAGTAAAGGATGAGACCCCTATCTATACTAAAAGTTATCGTTTTTCCGAAATACATCGCGAAGAAATAATCTCTCAAATTAAGAAGATGCTCGAGCAATGCATTATAGAACATTCTGATTCTGGTCTAGTCCAATTTGGATCGTCACAAAAAGAGCTGACGAGTCAAGAAAGAAAAAATTGCGTTTGGTAATTGATTACCGTAAATTAAATGAGAGAACAATCGATGATCGTTACCCGATCCAAACATAGCCGATATTCTCGATAAATTACTTCACCACTTTGGATTTAGCCTCTGATTTCCACCAGATCGAGGTAGACCCCAATGATGTTTCTAAAACCGGATTTTCTACATCTCATGGAAATTTCCATTTTAAAAGAATGCCTTTTGGTTTGAAAGGAGCACTACCTTTCAAAGGGTCATGGACAATATCCTTAAAGGGTTACATAACTAAATTTGTTCCGTCTATCTTGACGATATAGTTATATTCTCGGTATCGCTCGAAGAACTAAGACTTAGACAAATTTTTAATAGTTTAAGAGAAGCTAATATAAAGGTACAACTTGACAAATCGGAATTCCTTAGGAAGGAAGTTCAGTACTACACACCTGCACACACTACACACTACTCAAAAATAAATTAAAAGCTTTTTAGGCCTACTCGGTTATTATAGACGCTTTATTAAAACTTTTCAAAATTAACTAAACCCCTTACTCGTTGTCTCAAAAAAGAAGCGAAAGTGATTCATTCGCCCGAATTTATACAATATTTCGAAACCTGTAAAGATATGTTAATGAACTCGCTAATTCTCCAATATCCTAATTTCGAAAAACCATTCAACTTAACTACCGACGCTAGTAACTTTGCCATTGCTTTGCA